GTGTGGTGAGTCGGTGGGGATTCGGGGTCACCGCACGGTTTTGGCACTCGGGTTGTTCTCCGAGGACGTCTCGGGCGACTGGGGCATCCGAGGTCCCAAGACCGTGCGTTGAATGACCGTGCGGTGAGGTCTTGGGGGATTTCGAGGTCACCGCACGATTTGTCACCGCACCGTTTCGGGACTCAAGTATCACCAGCCTCGAACTTACTCCTTACCCCCACGCTTGACACGCCAATAGGCGATGACAACCTTAGGGAGGCGCCCTCAGAGACGAAGGGAATCCCTGAGGTCGGCATCGTGATGGGGCGATGCCCAGCGCAGGGACGGGGATATGTTCCAGGCTGGCAACAGTAGCTGCGCCTCGCCGAGAGCGTTCCGGGGGGGCTCGCAGCGTCCCGAGCGGCCGCCTGGGACCCGAGCTGTGGCCCGAGATCTGCCGACGACGCCCTTGGGCCTGCGCCGGCTCCAGGCCCTCTCGTCGGGTGCCCGGCCGCTCCCGAGCCCGAGCACGTCGACGAGGCCTCCTTCACGCCGCTGGTGCCCCCAGAGGACTGGGGGCAGCTCGAGCCCGCAGAGCCAGTTGATTTGGCCTCGTCCTCTTCCTGCTCCTCGGGCGGGGTGGAGAGAGAGAGAGAGAGAGAGTAGTTGTCAATGACATGCGGGTCGTCTTTCCAGCTCCAGCTGTTCAGGAGGGAAAAAACACAGACACAGTTAATTGTCGATTCCCCCGAAAATATTATGGAAAACATGGAAGTGGGGGAAGACGAAATCCAAAAATTATCGAACATATGGGGAATCCTGGGATTTGTGCGTATTTATTTGTGTGTTCTGGGGCCCCCTCAGCTGTGCCTGTTGCTCGCCTGCCAAAAGCCCGGTGCCCGGTGCTTCTTCAGCGGCGGCGCGCTGATGGGGTCGTCCAGCCAGCGCGGCGTTGATGCTCTTCTTGCTCTCCAGACTTCCCTTGCCGCCCCCGTTCCCGTTGGGGGGAGCAGGTCGTTTCCGAGCCGCCCGTGGCAAACCAGGGGACCGTGCCAGCGCAGCGGTGCAGCCGCGCATCAGGGAGGAGGTCGAGCTCAAGACCCGCTCCGGTTCGCTCAGTGCCCTGTCTGAGCTGGCGCGGTGCTTTGAAGACCTTGTCGTGGTTCTCGGCCTGGTTCTCCTCTCCTCCTCTCCTCTCCTCATTTCCTCGTCCTGCTCCTCCCTTCTCCCTCCGCCCTTCTTGGGCCTCTTGAGCCCCTCTTGGAGGTCTATTGGGTGCCTGATGTGCGATGGTTCTACCAATCTCTCCTGATGCGGCTGGGGTTGACAATTCTGGGGGCGCCTGGGCAGGCCATGTGGCCTTCTCGGAGCCCTCTTGGGGCGGTCTTGGGCCGTCTTGGGGGCTTCTCGGGCAGTATTGAATGTGCATTAGATCGTCTGGGGTCTTCTTGGGGTTTTCTGCGGTTCCCCCCAGGCGCGCTGAAGCCGAAAGGCATCGGAAGCGACCGTTTGATTGAATTTGGAAGGTCTTTGGTTACTCCGGGCCTCGCCAGAGGCCGTTTTGGTTTATTTATTTGCGGCTCTCATGGTTTCCCTCGTGGAATCTTGGGGAGGAGGCCTTGGATCACCTTCTCGGCCTGGGCCGTCCTAGGAGACTGGTCTTCGGACGTCTTGCAGCAGTCTTGGGCCAGTTTTTGGCCGCCTTGAGGCCGTCTTCAGGCCGAAAGCGACGCCAGAGGGCAATGTCAGGCAGGACGATTTGTAGGCTCCTTGCGGCGAGGGGAGGGGGGTATAGGAGCCCTATTGCACGACAGTCGCTCAAGCATTATTCTGGCACTCTCCGCTCTTATTAGCCATTGTGGCGGGAGCCCTCTAAGTTGGGCATCCTATTGTGGGCCTTGGAAACGGCAGCGGCGACGAAGCCTCACCAAACATCGGCGACGGAGCAGGAACACAAGCAATCGGAGACACGGGATCCGTAAAAATGGCCCTGTCGTTTCCGAGGCCCGTATCCAGTGTCGGAGGTTCGCAGGGGGGGCTTGTCCCAAGGTGGGGTCAGAGAACGGACCCAGCCGGATGCTCGCAGCTCCCTGCAGTGGGACCGAGGTACAAGATCGAGGGGAGGGTACCCTGATGTTCCTCGTGCTTGTTGGCTGCTCTTGTGCATCCTGGGGGAGGGTGCCCTCGAATGTTCTTCATCGGAGGGCACCAACTATACACCAACACCGATCCTGGCCCAGGATCACCCTGGGCCCAGGATCGGTGTATTTGCCTTCTTGCGCAGGGCAGGAGGGCGTATACACCGATCCTGGGCCCAGGGTGATTCTGGCCAGGATCGGTGTTGGTGTATAGTTGGTGCCTTCCTACTTCAGCCTGGCCGGCGGAGGGTCTCAGGGGCCATCCTGGCCCAGGTCCGGCCGTATTCCAGGGGCCACTCGGAGCGGCTTTCCTTCGGACCCCGCCTCGGCCCCTGCCCAAACCTTGAGGCGGGAGAAGAAGAGGCACGGCCGCAGATCATCGTCGATTCCCGGGAAGATGTGGGAAAACATAGGATCTGATGGGGAGGACGAACATCCAGACAACATTGGAAATACGGGGGATCTGGGTATTCGTGTATGTATGTGTATATAATATTTATATATATACACAGACATGTGTACACATAGGTGTGTATACCTGTATATATGCATGTCTGTCTTTATGTCTGTCTGTATGTCTGTCAGTCTGTCTGTCTGTCTGCGTGCATGCATGCATGCATGCATGTTTGTATGTAGATATGCACATATGAATGCATAGGTGTAGATATGTATGAAGGTATGCATGTATACGTGCATGCATGTGGGCATATACGTATGTATGCAGGCATTTATGTACGTATGTACGTATGTACGTATGTACGTCTGTACGTATGTACGTACGTACGAATGTACGAATGTACGTATGTACGTATGTACGTATGCACGTATGCACGTATGTACGTATGTACAGACGCACATACGTACGTATGCATGTATGTATGCGTGCAGGTAGGTCGGTAGGTAGGTCGATATGTAGGTAGGTATGCGTGTACGCGTGTATGCATGCATGCATGTATGTATGCATATAGGTATGTATGCATGTATGCATGTACGTGCGCCTGTATGTGTGTGTGTGTTTATGTATGTATGCATGCAAGTACGTATGTATGCATGTACGCATATACGTACGTACGTGTGTGTATGTGTATGTATGTATGCATGCATTAATGCACGCATGTATGCATATAGGTATGCATGTATGCATGCATGCCTATACATATATATATATATGTATGCATCTATATATGCATGCATGTATGTATGCATGTATACATGCATGTATGTATGCATGCATGCATGCATGTATGCATGCATGTATGCATGCATGCATGCATGCATATATGTATGTATGTATGCATACGTGTATGCATATGCATACGTATATGTATAGTTATAGATATGCATATGTATATGTATGTTGACATGAACGTATGCACGCATGCATGCATGCATGCATGCATGCATGTATGTATGTATGTATGCATACATGCATGTATGTATGTATGTATGTATGTATGTATGTATGTATGTATGTATGTATGACTGTACGTATGTATGTATGTATGTATGTATGTATGTATGTATGTATGTATGTATGTATGTATGTATGTATGTATGTATGTATGTATGTATGTATGTATGTATATATATATGTATGTATGTATGTATATGTATATATACATGTATGCATTCATGCCGGTATGCCTATCGGTATGGATGTAGGCATGCGTGTAAGTATTTGTATTTGTACATGCACATGTCTATACACATATATGTATGTATGTATATATATACACATAGATGTATGTATGTGTCCCTGGTCCCCGTGAGGAGACCCCGGGCTCGCCGAACGTCCCAGCCCGGCGCGGCGGCGCTGCCTCGCGGGAGGCGCGCCCCGCCTTCGGCCCCGCCGCGCCGCACGACGGGGCGGCCGCCGCCGCCGCGCTGCGGCGGCTGCGCGGCGGCCTGGGCCTCTGCGGCCTCGGCGGGGGCCGCCGCGCGCTGGAGACGCCGATGCCGCTGGCCCCCCGCCCTCCTCCTCCTCCTCCTCCTCCTCCTCCTCCTCACCTCCTCTCCTCCTCCTCCTCCTCATCATCCTGCTACCTCCTCCTCTCCTCTCTCCTTCTGTTTTTTTTCTTCTCCTTCTTCTCTTCCTCCTCTTCCTGCTCTTCCTTCTCTTCCTACCTCCTCTCCTCCTCCTCCTCCTCCTCCTCCTCCTCCTCCTCCTCCTCCTCTTCCTCCCGTTCTCCTCCTCCTCCTCCTTCTCCTCCTCCTACCTCCTACCTCCTACCTTCTCCTCCTCCTCCTCCTCCTCCTCCTCCCCTCGGGTCTCAAGAGACGGGGTCTATGCCAACGGGGGTCAGTCAGCGCGCCGGATCTTGCAAGATCCTTCAGAGCCAGGGGCGCACTGATCCGGGCTTGGTCGCAGGAGCCTGCGCGATCCTTCAGGATCTTTGCAGGATCCTGCAAGGCCTGACTGGCCCGGGTCTGGATTGACCTGGGTCAGTAGGTTCCCGATCCCCGTCTCAGGAGAGGCTAAGTCCAGACGGGTACGGAGTGCTCGGTCTCCGCATGGACTTGCTCCGTCTGGACTCAGCCTCGATGCAAGTCCATACGGAGACCGAGCTCTCTGTATGGACTTGCTCCGTATGGACTTGGCCTCCTGTCGGGAGAGGCTGAGCCCAGACGGCGTAAGTCCAGACGGAGACAGAGCGCTACGCATGGACTTACTCCGTGCAGACCTGGCCTCCGCCCACCGTCGAGTCACGACGCGCCCCCGAGGAGAGGGCCGTGGAGCAGCGGCAGCGGTACTGTGCTCTTGCCCCCCCCCAGGAGACCGCCGACATCGTGCGCGAGCTGGGCGCGCGGCTGGGCGACCTCGACGGCGCCCCGCCGGCGCCCGCGCGGCGGGGCGAGGCGCGGCGGGGCGGCGAGGCGTCCCCGCCGCGCCCCGGCGACGTCGTGGTGCTGCGGGGCCTCGCGCGCCCCGGGCTGAACGGGCTGCGCGCGGAGGTGCTGCGCGGGGGCGCCCGGGCCGGGCGCCTGCCGCTGCGGGTCGAGGCGTCCGGGCAGGAGATCGGGGCGGTCGAAGTCCGGGGAGGCAAAGCCCGTCGGACCCGATCCTCGGCGCTGGCTCAGCAGCCCTGCCCTGCCGGATCCCCTCTCTGGGCGCGTCGACGAAGCGGCCTCACGCGTCGGGGTGATGGCTATATGAGGGCGGAGCTTCTGCTCGGTTCGACGTGGACACGGGAAGAGGGGCAGGTCGGGTCGGGCCTGCATGCCCACGGGGGGCGGCCACAGGGCCCAGGCGGGGCAAGGAGTGCAGCAGGGTCGGGTCGCGCTGAGGGCTCCAGCGGCCGGCGGGCCTTTGCACGTGGCGTGCTTGCCAGGATCTGGTCTCGGGCAGACCCGGCGTGGCCGTGGCGAAGCGTGCTGTGGACACGGAAGGAACGGGCACGAACACCGACAGCGTTTCCTGCTGATTTTGAGCAGGGCTTCCTGCCGGTGTCGCCGCGGGCGTCGTCCACTGGAGGCAGAAGGCCGCCTCTCCAACAGCGGCCGCTGTCGGTTTTGGACGACGTTTGCTGTTGGGCATCGTACCCACTGTTCGAATAGGGGGTCGACTAAGCAATTCATTCACCACAGAATCATTATTTTCGTCGACAATGCGGGGAAGGCTGTCATATCCAGATGCGTTCCACGTCTTTTGCTTCGTGGATTCGAAGGCAATCTCAATTTTGGGGTAAGCCCCCTCTGGAGTCGATCCCCGAGTTACTCGATCTGTTTCCGTGCCCACTCCGGGCGTCCAGAGGAGATCTCGGTGAGGGCGGAGAACGTGGAGAAGGCCGCGGGCCCAGGGCCGCAGCCAGCTGCGGTGCCGCAAGGCGGCGGCGGCGCCGCCGCCCCGCGCCCCGCGGCGGCGGCGAGGCCCTGCTCGAGGGAGCAGCGCCTCTCCGAGGGCCTGCGCGCCGACGAGGGGCGCCGCGACGAGCTGTGGGAGCGCTTCTTGGCCAGCGACGACCGGCCGGTCGGTGGGGATGTGCTCCCCTCGCCGGACCAGTACCACGGCGCCTCGTGACCGCGCGCGGCGTCCGGCGCGGCCTGCTGGCGCGAGCGCGCCTTCGCTCCCCCCTTCGTCTGCGTCCACGCCTGGAGCGGTGAGGCGGGGTGGAGGTGGTTCGGGTCGGACAGAGTTGGGCCACGCGCAGAGGGGGGGCAGGGGGAGGGGGGGAGGCTTCTTGGAAGCACCCCTGCTTCTTAGAAGGCGCAGGCCTCCTCTGTAGATGTAGGGGCGGCGCCTTCTAAGAAGCGTCTCGCGCAACCCCTCTTCCTTGCTCGTCGTCGTCTTCATCGCAGCCGCCACTGTCTCCGCCTTTGTCCTCGTCGTCGTCGTCGTCGTCGTCGTCTCGCTGGTGCATTCTTTCCGCGCCGCACTGCTCGTCGTCGCTGGCGTTTTTCGGGAAGCGGGTCCTTCTCCTCCTCATCATCCTTTTTTCATCGCCTCCTCCCCTCGGCCTCTCTCCCCCTCTTCCGCCGCTCTGTTCTTCGCCTCTCTCCCTCTTTCTCCTCCTCTCCTTTTCCCTCTTCCACACCCTCCTCGTGGATGCCGTTCGTTGCATGTTTGCCCCCACGTGAGCAGCTCGTGTACCTACCGTGTGGTAGGCGGTGACAGTTGGAGGTTATGTGATGTTGTCCGCTCCCATCTTCTTTTTCTTCTTCTTCTGTTAAGGAACACCCTCCTCGTGTCGTCGTTTCCTCGCGCTTTTCCTCCCCTACTCTTTCAGGAGGGAACACACACAAAGTCAGTCGACCCCCTGGGAAACATGGAACATCTGGGAAGTGGAGGGGAAGATTAACATCCAGCAAATATGCAGACATGTGGGTAATCCTGGGATTAGTGTATATTGTTTGTGTGTTCCTGGGTCCCCTCCTCTTCCTCTCCCATCCCTGTTCCTTTTAAGTGCAGCTCTTCCTCGTCGCACCGCGCGGCTGGCTTGGGCGTCTTGCGTCTACATATTGCACGCTTGGCAGGCAGGTTACATTCTAAGCGTGCTCGGTCCACGAGCCAAGGGATTTTTTGTTGTTTGTTCTCTCTCTCTCTCTCGCTCGATGTCTATGTATGGATTTGCCCTGATTCGGGCAGTGGGCAGTGGAACTGCTGAGGACTCCATGCTGAGGACACCGTGTCAGGGGCTTCGCTGTTCTGCGCTGCGCTGTGCCGTGCTGTGCTGAACTGTGCTGGCTCATACTTCATATTGTGTTAAGCTGTGCTGTGCTCTATGTCGCATGGACGCGCTACAGGATGTGCCCACCAGGGGGTGCGCCAGGCGACCTGCCAAGCGACGCAACAGGGGACGTGCCATGGACGTGTCAGGGACTACGGGACGTGCCAAGGCGCGTGCTAGGGGTTGTCATTCAAGGGGACGTCTCAAGGCACGCGCCAGGGGATGCGCTAGGGGACGTGGCGAGGGGCGCGCCACGAAACGGGCAGGGCAAGCGCCAGAAGACGGGTCAGGGAACGCGCCAGTGGTCGAGCCAGGGAACGTGCTACGCGTCGCGCGGGTCGCGCCAGTGGACTTACCAGAGGCATCGGGTCGTCGTCGTCGTCGTCGTCGTCGTCGTCGTCGTCGTCGTTTCGTCGTCTTCGTCGTCGTCGTTGTCGTCGTCGTGGACGCCACGCGCGTGCGCGCACGAAGCTTGCGCCGCCGCGGCCGCGGCGGGGCCGCCGCCCGCGCGCGCGCGCAGCGTGCCGGCGCGCCCGGCATGGCGCCCTTGTGCCCCCGCGGCAGCGGCGCCACTCGGCCGGCGGGGCACGCTGCGCGCGCGCCGGGGGCGTCGTCCGTCGTCGTCGTCGTCGTCGTCGTCGTCGTCGTCGTCGTCGTCGTCGTCGTCGTCGTCGTCGTCGTCGTCGTCGTCTGTCGTCTGTCGCCTGTCGCCTGTCGCCTGACGCCTGTCGCCCTGCCCATCGTCGTCGTCGTCCGTCGTGGGCGCCGTCGTCCATCATCGCCGTCGTCTCGTCTGTCGTCGGTCCTTCGCCGTTGTTTGTCCTCAATCGTCGTCCGTCGTTGTCCGTCGTCGCCCGTCGTGCGTAGTCATCGTCCGCATCTTTAGTTGTCCGTGGGCGTCTATTATGTGTTTTCTGCTGTCGCAGACACAAGCCAAGCCGACGTCTGCTTGCCGTTCCTGGCCTCTCGGTGCCCTCTTCATGCCAGCGCCACTAGAGACTGGCACCATGGACGGCCGCGAACCGGTCGGTTCGGTTGCGTCGGTGTCGGTTAGAATCGATCGGTTCGGTCGGTTCGGTTGTTGCGGAGTCCCTGCGTCGTCGCGCCCTCTTCGGTTACTTCGGTTGATTCGGTTTCGCCGCGGGCGCCTCGCTGGCGCCTCGTGCCGGCCCAGGGGATCGAATCGGCCGCCGGTTTCCAGTTCGGTTTCGCTGCCCACGGATTCGCGCCGATCTGATTCCGCTTGGCGTTCTTCGGAGGCGTTCGGGGAAGTGGCGGGAGAGTGCCCCCTTCGCGCGGGATGGTGCGGGAGAACTCCCAGAGAGCTCCAGCAGCCTGCCTCGGCCCGGGCACTGTGCACGGAGCATCCCTGCTGCTGGCGCAGGTCGGCCGGGGCAGGCCGCAGGAGACCCGCCCGGACGCGAAGCTCCGGCCAGGATGTGCCCTGGGAGCCTGGCATCGCTCGGACGTGTGCATTTTTTTCTCGGCGAGGACCCTGGAGGAGCATCCTGGACCATCGAGCAAAAAAAACACGCACGAAACCGAAACATGCACGGGAAGTGGACGTCCGAGCGACGGCAAGGGGGGGGGTTCGGCGGTGCGGTTTCTGGAGCTGGCTGTGTTGTAGCCAGAGGGCTGGATTCTCTCTCCTCGGGGAAGAGCGTGCGCCGACCCCCGCCTGCTCACCCTTTCACCTCGCCCTCTCTCTCTCTCTCCCCCCTCCTGTGCCCCCTCCCTTCCTCGCCAGGTTGGCGCCCGGCCAGCATCCCACTCGATAGGATGGCGATGCTTCCCCCATCACGAGGGGTCCGTTCTGGTATCTTGGATACGTCTCTCGGTCGATTGCCTCCTCTTCCACTTGCTGCCTGCCTTACGAACTCCCTCCCCCGTCGAAGCCGTTCAGGCTTGGTCAGACACGTGTCTCGAGTCAGCGATTAAGGACCCCCCCCCCCCTCTCCGGTGAAAGGATAACGCACCCGGCACCCGGAAGCGTTATCCTGGCACCAGGAGGGGGTACACTTATTCGTATTCGTATTCTTATTCTCATTACAATTCTAATTGGGATGCCACCCGAGGCGGGGCGCTGGAATTATTTATTTTCCTTCCATTTGCGCGGTGCTAATAATATCACTCGGCGAAAACCCCCCCAAATAATTATTTAATTACGGCGCGGTGCTAATGATAACGCCGGGGGGTTCCTTAATTGCTTCTCATGACTCCCCGGCCATCAACGTCCACGTTTTCGCTGAACAGATGCTCCCACTGTGCTTGACTGTTGCTGTGCGCACGGAGGCTGCCTGCTTGCCACGGGTGCCTGGCGTCGTCCGCGCGCCTCCGCCCCCCTGCCCAGAACACCCGATGCATTTGTTTTGCTCCTCCCGCGGGCCCCGGGGGGTAGCTCGGCGGCGAGCGAGGGGGGGATCGAGAGGGAGCAGGCGTCCTCAGAGGGCGCCCGGAGGCCCCGCGGCCTTCTCAGAAGCTTTCTAAGCCTCCCAGCTCACGATCGAGCCTCCAGCTCACGATCGAGCCTCCAGCTCGACGTCCCGCGTCCACTCCAGCTCACGATCGAGCCTCCACGCAGAGAGCTTCTCAGAGGGCGCGAGTGCTTCGAAAAGCCCCGCCGCCTCCCGAGCAGAGGCCCTCCTGCTTCTCTTTCCTCCGCCCCTCGCTCGCCGCCGACGGATTTTGTTCTGGGCCCCCTCGGAGGCTCCCCTTCTGCGGCCCGAGCTCGCCCCGGCCCCAGCCTGAAGTCGGGCGCGTCCCTCTACAGGGGGAATGCTCAAAAATAGTCAAAAACAATAGTCTGGGGACGATTTTCTGATTATTTTTTGAAGATTTGGAGGGTGTGTTTTGAGTATTTCTTATTTTTCGCCCAAAATCCCCCTGTAGGGGGACGCCCGACTTGACCCCAGCCTCTTCGATCACCGAGCGCGCTCCACTGCTCGCAGAGCGCCTGCTCGCAGACGTCTGAGAGTCGTAGGTTCGCCTCGACGTAATTCAGGAGGGAAAAAAACACACAGACACAATCAATCGTCGATTCCCCAGAAAATATGGGAAAATATGGGAAGTGGGGGGGAAGACAAAAACACAGAAAATATGGGAAGATATGGGAATCCCTTGATTTGTGTGTATTTATTCGTGTGTCCTGGGGCCCCTTCAGTAATAGATCGTAGATCGCCCGCGGCGGATCCAGGCCCCTTGCAGGTAGCTCCTCTGCGAGTGATGGCACGCGCTCGTCTGCCCGAGGCCTCTTCCTTCCCCCCTCCCCAGGGAGGCCGAGTCACCGAGGAGACGCTCGGGTCACACGAGCCGATCCTCCCGACGCTGTCGGGGACGGCCCCACGACGGCCCCGGTGCCCGCGAGCCTGGCCGCCCGGCTTGTGGCGGCGAGGGACGGCGAAGTCCGAACCTTGCCCTCGCCGCCCATCGATTCAGGAGAATCGATGGTTGGTCGGGGTAGGGTTCGGATGTCGCCACCTATTGGCGGCGAGCGAGAGGGGGAAGTGGGAAGGAGGAGGAGGAGGCTTATCAGAAGCCCTCTGCCTTCGGGGAAGGCTTAGAACGTTCCTCCAGAGGCGGGGGGACTTCCGAGCCTTCTGAGGAGGTCCGCCCCCTCTCCGAGATCGCCCCGACGTCGTTTTTTCCCAACCATCCTGTGGTGTTGGGTCCTCGTTTTGAAGAGACGGTCCCCGCGTTCCTCCTCTTCTCCTCCTCTTCCCCCTCCTCCCTCCTCCCATCAGCATCATCATCATCATCGTCATCATCATCATCATCATCATCATCATCATCGTCATCATCATCATCATCATCATCATCATCATCATCATCATCATCATCATCATCATCATCATCATCATCATCATCATCATCATCGTCATCGCCCACCATCGTCGTCATCACCACCATCATCGTCACACCTCTCACACGTTTCGTGGCCCCATAGGGAGCTCCACCGAAGGCCCCA